ATCTTAATAACTTCAATTTTATCTTCTGTAATATCTGGTTTAAATACAAATACATTAACAACAACAATATTAGAGAATAGTCTTAATAACTTCAATTCTATCTTCTGTAATATCTGTTTAAATACAAATACATTAACAACAACAATATTAGAGAATAGTCTTAATAACTTCAATTCTATCTTCTGTAATATCTGTTTAAATACAAATACATTAACATTTATAACAACAATATTAGAGAATAATCTTAATAACTTCAATTTTATCTTCTGTAATATCTGTTTAAATACAAATACATTAACAACAACAATATTAGAGAATAGTCTTAATAACTTCAATTTTATCTTCTGTAATATCTGTTTAAATACAAATACATTAACATTTATAACAACAATATTAGAGAATAATCTTAATAACTTCAATTTTATCTTCTGTAATATCTGTTTAAATACAAATACATTAACAACAACAATATTAGAGAATAGTCTTAATAACTTCAATTTTATCTTCTGTAATATCTGTTTAAATACAAATACATTAACAACAACAATATTAGAGAATAGTCTTAATAACTTCAATTCTATCTTCTGTAATATCTGTTTAAATACAAATACATTAACATTTATAACAACAATATTAGAGAATAATCTTAATAACTTCAATTTTATCTTCTGTAATATCTGTTTAAATACAAATACATTAACAACAACAATATTAGAGAATAGTCTTAATAACTTCAATTTTATCTTCTGTAATATCTGTTTAAATACAAATACATTAACATTTATAACAACAATATTAGAGAATAATCTTAATAACTTCAATTTTATCTTCTGTAATATCTGTTTAAATACAAATACATTAACAACAACAATATTAGAGAATAGTCTTAATAACTTCAATTTTATCTTCTGTAATATCTGTTTAAATACAAATACATTAACAACAACAATATTAGAGAATAGTCTTAATAACTTCAATTCTATCTTCTGTAATATCTGTTTAAATACAAATACATTAACATTTACAACAACAATATTAGAGAATAATCTTAATAACTTCAATTTTATCTTCTGTAATATCTGTTTAAATACAAATACATTAACAACAACAATATTAGAGAATAGTCTTAATAACTTCAATTTTATCTTCTGTAATATCTGTTTAAATACAAATACATTAACATTTATAACAACAATATTAGAGAATAATCTTAATAACTTCAATTTTATCTTCTGTAATATCTGTTTAAATACAAATACATTAACAACAACAATATTAGAGAATAGTCTTAATAACTTCAATTTTATCTTCTGTAATATCTGTTTAAATACAAATACATTAACAACAAAAATATTAGAGAATAGTCTTAATAACTTCAATTCTATCTTCTGTAATATCTGTTTAAATTACAGTGCTTTGACAAAATATTTTGAAACTTTTTTTTTACAATATAAGTACACCTTGAACAGTGATAATATTTTCAATTTTTCCAATTTTGGTAAGGTTTCATTCCTGGGTGGATGGCCGAACTGAGGGATGTGCGTGATGACATTATATTCTACATATAAATATATAGTAGGAGTATTATAATAAAACAAAATTTCTTCTACCTGTGAGCCATTTAAACCCAGCCATGGTTCCTGACCATAGGTAAACATCTCCCATAATGTGACACCAAACATCCACATATCACTAGCATGAGAAAATTGTCGAGATTTTAAACTTTCTGGAGCACACCTGAAAAAAGATATCAGTTAACTACAAATAAATTATACATAGAAACAAATTTTTTTACAAGGAAAACAACAATGAATCCTTTCTACCAGGTGGGTCGACTGGAATAATAAGGAAAGAGGACTTATTCAAAGGTACTTTCACAAGCTGAACTCACCCACAATCACTTTCTAGATTCTTTTGAATTCACTGAGTGTATTGCTTCAAATGAATTCTAACCTACCAAACCATGCATAAGTCTTGTAAGTATAGACAAGCAAAGAAACTTAACTGACAAGCAACTAAACAAGCAAGACGAAAAAAAAAATCATTTAATCAAAACGTTATTCGTGTTGTTTAGACATTTCTCATTGTTACTTTGATTAATGTAGTTTGGTTTATAATTAGTTCTTAATACTGTAAATGATATCATGAAATACTGACCAAGCAAAAGGAACTTTTTTCTGTTCTGACATAACATAATGATCAACTTGACTTGGTAATGCTCTCATTAATCCAAAATCTCCAATTTTCACCTGTAAAAATACAAATTTAAATACCTACATATA